ACCTAAAGCTGTAGAGGCATGACATTAAAAAAAAAATTTATGTACCTACTCATAAAGGAATTGTATATGCTTTATATGATGTTCAAAATATTTAGATTCTTTTTCATTTATTATTTAAACACTTTATACGTCGATGTTAATTGAACATTACAGGTAAGTTACTCAATGAAGGGGTACATATAAGAACTTGTCGCCTATATACATACAGCATAGCGACACTGTTATGCAGGGCTTTCTACAAAGGGGTTGAATATCAATGARAACTATAGTCCCAGGTCAAATGRGGAAAAAAATAAWATATTAACWTAGKTCCTACCTGGGGAACTCCGAAGAGACCTTAGAGATAGAGGAATTGCAGCCGAATGCTTTAACCTATATTAAACTCATCCAGACAGATAGGATTTGAATCMCGACAGCCAAACCCTTCACCAAACCCTGCAGATTTGTATAGGGACTCAATTAGGCAGCCAAGTTCAACTCTGTCAAAGGCTTTATCAAAATCTGTGAAAAAAACATCTACCAGGATGTGCTTTTCAATAGCCTCCATAATATTGTATACAAAATACAAAGTTGTGTTTAATAATCCATGTGTATATATTATATTTACWMTATTAGAACAGGACACTTTGCGTCGGTAGGTGGATGAGGCGAACATTTTTTTGAAAAAATCCAGGACAATATGAGCAATTAGTCTCCCACCAWAGATACTTAAGTTGAATGTCGATGTCTGCTGGCTGCCCTCTTACAAGTGCTATGTATCCAGTTGAAAATAAGATAGCTATTAGATTATACTTATACATTTTATTTGTAAATAGTTAATGGTATCCTAACAAAATGTACATAGGGGGACGAGGTGGCCGAGTGGTCTACCGAGTCGGCTGTGGCTCAGCCGGACAGGGTTCGATCCTCGACCATCGGGCGGCATTTTTCTCCGGGCAAGTCACGATGTCCGGAGAACAAGTGCCCCACTCCGGGGCAGGGCAGAAACCTACGGGTGCCCCAATAGAAATTCTGCCAAAAACTCTTTCCCGCGTGTAAAACCARCCTACAGTTCCATAAGAACCTACAGTACTACCCTCTTCCCAATGGCCTTAGYTGCCGCGGGATAATTATAAAAAAAAAAAAAATTTACATATTGATTTTATAGTAAATTTCAACAAATTTACTAATATTTTAAMGTAATTAATATAACTGATAGTTTATAGACGTGTATAACAGTAAAAAAAGCTTAGCAAGTAACTAATATTTGAGGTGTACCTTTTGAAAAAATAAAGATTTAATGTTAAAAAGAATTTTAATAAAAATATTATAAAATATGCTTAGAAGTATTATACAATAAGRGCCCAGATTTATTTACAGTACTGTAGTGAAACAATTCATGTAGGGGAGGAGGGCTGCTGGTATGCCTCCTTTAATTTTCAATAAATGTTGATAAAAATTCTATTTCTAAGTCAAAAAGTTTTAAAAAGATACTTATATCAGTTATATCTAATAAACATGATTAAAAAAAAATTTAAAAAGCATAATTTTTTTCTTAATGTTTTAGGTTAAAATGTTGAAAAAAATTATCAAAACCACTTACATTTAAAAATTATTTTGTGTGGGAGGGAGGCACCATACAAAAGTTGTCTATGTATATACCATAGCACACTGCCATAATACTAAAAGGAAAATATTAAATCCTCGTATAATTTTTAGAAAACATTTTAAAAACATCTTCAATAATAGTCTGACAAAAAGTCTTTGCTTAGAATCAATTATCATACCTATGCAATGATTATTTCATTTTTTATTTCATCATTGAATTCAGATTCAGCACATCCTCAACTATTGAATAATAAAATATTAAAAAGTGCTTTTAAGCTCTTTGGAACTATAGAAAATAAAAATAATTAAATTTTAATAATTTCAACTTTAATTAGGTACCTAATGATAATT